GTAACAAGCTCTAGCACAACCCTTTCAACCCATATAGAGAAAGAGAGCAGCTTCTTTGGCATGCCATTAAGGAAAGACTTAGGACCACTGAATTCAGTGAGATTTTTAACTTACAAGCTTTTATTTAAGCCTTGACCAATTTCTTCCATGAAACAACTTTTGTTCTTAAGTTGAGTCTTACTTTCTTTTGCTGAATCCGCTGGTCTGAAGGTCAACTATAGTAAATCAATGATTTCCCGATCAACACGTGAGAAGAAAAGTTGAACCATCTAGTGAACAACTTTGGTTGTGCCAAAGGGTCTGTCGATGTTTTACCACCGACAACCCGCCACGGGAGTACCCGGACGGTGATTTGTTCGGAGGGGTATCGGCGTTTGTAGGAACTCGATGGTAAACGCAGGGAGACAACGATTTATACTGGTTCGTCACGCCGAAAAGTCACGGCGCCCTACGTCCAGTGTGGTGTGGATAGTATATTGCGCCCTGCGCTATTTGTTGTGGTTGTGAGTTCTGTCGGTTATGTCTGCCCTTCATGTGTGTGTGTTAGCTAGGTCTGCCGATCTAGGGACCCCTGCCCTCCTTTATATAGTCCAGGAGAGGCGGGAGTCCTAGTCGGTTACAAAGTAGAGATTCTAGTAGGATTACGTGTACTAGTCCTAGTAGGATTACATGAGGAGAATCCTATTTGGACTAAGTCTTCTTCTCTCTTCACCGTGGGGAACCTTATGGGTCCCGCATCGACAGGGTCCCTCCCCTTTACATACTTGGGACATCCCCTTGGTCTCACCGGACCCAAATTTGAGGAATTCTTGCCATTGGTAACCAAGTGTGAGAAAATTGGCAAGCATCTCTACCTTCCTCACTCAAGCTGGTAAACTAGTGATTACTAATGCAATTATTTTTCCTCTCCCAACTTTCTACCTTTGCTCACTCTCTCTACCTAAGTCTTCAAATAAATAGGCAAGTATAGAAAGCACTGTCTCTAGAGAGGTGCAAGCATAAACTCAAAAAAGGTACCAAATGCTGCTTGGGATTTATTCTGTCTGCCTAGAAATGAGGGGGGAATCCTAAAAACACAATGAAGCCATAATGATGAAAACTAGGACAAATTCTTCAATAAGCAAAACATCCCTTGGGTCTCCATTATCTAGGAAAAACACTATCCCAATGGGAAGTTGTCGAACCACATAAAAAGATCATTTTGGTGGAGAGAAAGTATAAAATTAATAGATTCCTTTAAATCTTTGGCCTTGATTCATGTGCAAAATGGATAGACTTGCTTTTTTTGGCAAAGTTTATAAATAACATATGTATGCAGTGATATGGCTTCTTTCTCCTTTTGAATATGTGGTGAATTGGTTAATGGTGATGTAGTCTCACCTTAAGTGACATCAAATGAATTTTAGTTGCCCCAAATACTGCTACTCCTTGTTTATTGTCTTTGACGTACGGCGTCGCACACCATGCCATAGTAGCTAAACGAGAAAGGAATGTTTGCGATGTGGGCAGTTGCTGGTCACCCTGGGCATTCGGTCAGACCAAACCGATCGGTTTGGTTCCTCGGTCATTCGGTCAGTTCGGTCATCAGAAACCTGGGACCGATCGGTCTTTGCAAAAAACGAAGATCGAGGAAGTTCGGTCTCGGTTAGTTCGGTTCGGTCTCGGTCACGACCGAACTAACCGGACCTGAGTAGCAGCCACGAACAATAGCAGAATCTATAGCAATTTTCAACAGCATGCTTGCTATTTGAAGGCAAAAAAATAACAACACAATATATAAAACAAACCACACATTATTATGACAAGTTCTAGCACACAACTTTCTCGGTTCTCACAAATCACAATCACACATAATGACATTACGAACGAAGTCTACGTAACTACTGGTCCATTCGGTCACTTCGTTAATCGACACATATGACCGAACTTCTATCGGTTACTTCGGTTAGTTGGGAGCCAGGACCGAACTCATGACCGAACTTTTCGGTCTCGGTCTTTTCGGTCTCGGTCTCGGTCTTTTCGGTTCGGTCTTCGGTTAATTATGCCCAGAGTTAGTTGCTGGCTTGCAGGTTCACCTGCATACGTCCAATGGACTTTGTAGACTGGTATGTTTAGGCCTGTAACATAATGGCTTGTGTGTGCATGGTCCACTAAGACTTTTTTAGTAGATGGGCCTAAAAGGCTGGCCTGTGCCTCTTTGCATCTCTAATCACACACTTGACAACTGAACAGCCGACGGTTTTTCATGCACAATCTTCCATTTCAACCACAAAAAAGAAACCTACAATCACACGTCGCTACCTCCCTGGAACAAAATTGCTCACACTTCTAGAACAACAAAGAACTTATTAGAGGCAAAGACGTTCACTGAAATGGATTAAGTTTGGAGGTGTAGACACAAAATTCTTCCATGGTAATCCTACAAGTAGACATAGAAAAAATCTTGTCACTAGGTTGGTAACAAACTCTAGCATAACCCATATAGAGAAAGAGTAACTTCTTTGGCAGGCCATTAAGGAAAGACTTGGGACCTCTGAATTCAATGAGATTCAGTTCACCTTAGAAGCTTTCATTTAAGCCCTGACAATTTTCTTTCATTAGAAGATGAGTTCACAGATGATGAAATAGATAATGTGGTCAAGCTAATGCTCAATGATAAGTGACCTGGTACAAATGGGTTTGCCAATGAATTCATAAAAAATGCTAGACTACCATCAAGGTTGTCTTCTATTACAGGACCTTTTATGAGAATAACCTCTACCTCTAATGCATCAACTCTTCTTTCATAGTTTCATCACCCTGATTCCAAAAGCTGACATCCCTTCAACAGTTTCAGATTATAGACCTATTTCTGTCCTAAATGCTTCTAAGAAACTAGTCACAAAACTGTTGGATAACAGGCTCCAAAGAATTATTAAAAGTATGATACACAGAAACCAGTATGAATTCATCAAAAGCAGAACCATTCAGGACTATTTAGCCTAGTCCTTTGAATATTTGCATCTCTACCACCACTCAAAGAAAGAGATAGTGATTTTAAAGTTGGATTTAAAAAAACATTTGACCAGATTGAACACCAAGCAATTATAAGTCTCCAAGAAGCTTTGAAAATGCTTGGCTGGCCTAGATTAGAAACATCCTTTCCTCTGATATTTCAAAGGTGCTTCTCAATGGTGTTCCTAGGAAGACAATCCACTATAAAAGAGGTGTTAGACAAGGGGACTCTCTATTATTTGTTCTTATTACTGACTTCTTGCAATCCCTCCTAAACAAAGCTACAAATTTTGGCATTCTAAAATTTCACATCCATCTTCTCTCTTCCCTAGACTTTTCTGTCATTTAGTATGTTGATGAGACCTTGATCATTTTGGAAGGAGATGTAAGATAACTTTTCTTCTTAAGTTGAGTCTTTCTTTTGCTGAATCCACTAGTTTGAAGGTCAACTACAGTAAATCAATGATTTTCCCAATCAACATGTCAGAAGAAAAGTTGAACCATCTAGCAAACAACTTTGGTTGTGTCAACGGGTCCCTCCCCTTTACATACCTAGGACTTCCCCTTGGTCTCGCCGGACCTAGACTTGTGAAACTCTTGCCATTGGTCCAAACGTGAGAGGAGATTGGCAAGCATCTCTACCTTCCTCACTCAAGCTGTTAGAGTACCCTAAAATTTGTTTGTTTTGAAATAGGCTTAAAATGATTTAATTTTGTATTTTTATGCTCATGAAAACATACAAAAACAAAAAATTTCATTAAATTAAATTCATCATAGGATGTTGCGCATACATGCTGGTGCATTTATCTTTTTGTGCTGAGTGGTTTTGATAAAATTCAAAATGATTTCAAATGCTTTTGAAAATGGCTTTGAAAAATAGACAAGAAAAAGGGATTTTCTTTTTCTCTCTCTCTCTCTCTCTCTTTTCTGAGCGCAGCAGCCCAACCGAAGTGGCCTAGCCCTCACTTTTCTCTCGGCCTGCTTCTTCAAATTGGAGCCCATGTCGGTCGAACCCCGCGGCCCAACTAGAGCAACCACGGGCGCCCTTTCCCATCTTCCTTCCGAAACCCGTAGGCCCAGCCCATGCATGGAGCCTCTCCCCTCTCTCTGTTTGGCTGACGACCGAGGCCATCCCCTAAGTCGCTAACACCCCGGCCCACTAGTCAGCGTCGTCCCCAACCTCACGCCGTGCTCAGCTCGGACTCTGTCCGAGGAAATCCCACTGCCGCGGCGCTCCCGATTTCGCGCGATTGAACGTGCTACCCACGCCAACGCCTCTATAAAATCCAAACCCCAGGTGCGCCACTTCCTTTTTTAGCTCTAGCACGTCGCCATCCTTGCCCTAGCGCCGCTTCCAGATATCGCCGTCGAGCTTGAATCGCCCGCCGCCGCCGCAGACAGATGTCGTCTGCTGCTTCTCCTCCGGTCGCGACCCTCTTCCGAGCCCCGCACCAAGGTGACAAAGCTGCAGAGCCGATTCTCTTGCTCTTTCTTGCTCTCTTCTCATTCCTTACCGACGTCGAACCTCCACAGGAAGCAGACGTCCACCCCGCTAAACCTCACGAAGCCATCGAGCCTTCGCCGTTTGTTCAAAGCCCCTGGGTCGATCATCGGTCCATTCTCTTTCTTCCCGTACCTTTATCGAGTCAAAACCGAGTCCTGTTGCACATTTTTCGAGCTCGCCGGTGAACTTCTCGCCGCTGGTCATGGCGCCACCGTCCCTGTTGACATCGGCGGCCCCCTCCCCCTCTCCCTTCTGTTTCCCAACCACCGGATCTAAGATGAACGGCCTAGATTAGAACATACACCTTTGCTAGCAGTTTTTCTAAAGAGCCCCTGTCTTTCTTTTTATTTGTACCCTGCAGTCATAATTTAAAATATGTTTTCTATTTATTTTAATTCATAAATAAGTTAAAGTTAAGTTCGCTCTAATTATGGTTTTACCATCCAGAGCTTAATTTCATCATACCTTTGTTTTAAATCCGATTTTAGTGTGGGATTGGAACATGGATGGAGCCAAACTGCAGAAGTTTGATGGATGGGTTCTTCACACTACCAACGAGGATGGTGAAAGAGGCGAGGATGATGCCATAGCTCTCCCGAAGGATTGCAGCAGTGGCCCTGAGGATGGCGACAGTGACCTTGAGAATCATGATAGTGGCCTGAATGATAGTGGAATGGCCTCAAAGGATAGCAGTGATGAATCACACCAACGTGAACCACTTGGCCAACGTGAGCGGCTTGGCCAACTGCGAACACAAGGTTGATATGTGCCCTTATAGTTCGTTTTGTGATGAGTGATTGTCAATGTGATCCACGACCTAGGTTGAGTTTGTGAATTAACCATGACGTAAGTTAGGTTGTGCGACAAGTCTCTTGGTTTGTGGTGTGCAGGTGTGGAGCTCGGAGGCGGTGGTCGACGGCGACGTGAAAGTCAAGTAGGGACGTACCGTGCCGATGGACCTGGAGCGGTGAAGGACGGACGTGAGGCTTGGACTGAAGGACCAGGAGGCCGGGCGACTAGCTGTGGTGGCTGACATCTGGGACATCGACAAGCGCAAGTGTACATGAGAGTGATCGTGTTGACCGAGTCAAGACGGCGGACGTGCGAGTCGAGCGGGGCTCAGGAGGACTTGGCGTCCGGCCTGTCGAGGACGGCGGTGACACGTGTCGAGTGCGCGGGGGACGCGTATGGAGTACGCTACTCGCGGACGGTTTGGTGGTTTGGGCCTTAAAACCATCGGTGGCCGGTTTCATGGGTTTGACCCTCAGAACCCGGACGGAGGTTCCGAGGAGGGACGGACGACACATGGCGGTATAAAGGAGTTCGCGTCGAGGCGAAGCTATCTCATGAAGGGCGCGGTTTTCGTCGGATGAAGATTACCTCGAGTTGGACCATATTGCCCTCGAGTTAAGTGGTTCGACTCAAAGATATGTAAGGACAAAATTGAGATTGTGTAATAGCCCTGTTAAATATAATGAGGTAGCTCTCATTTTCCTTACCTCTTTTATTTTTCTTGCTCCTTGCCCTAGGTTTTTTCATCTCGTTAGGTTTTCTTGAGAGAGGATCCACAAATTCTTAATCAAAATCGTGTTTTTGGTTGGGAATGGAGGCCCGAATCGTTCCTCCGGGATTCCAGTGCCTGTGATTTTCGTTCACTGAGTTCATAGTTTTTCCCCTTTTTCGTTCTCATCTTGGATCGCATTTTTCTGGAGTTTGGGTCAATCCTAAGCGATGATTTTTGGGAAATAGTTTCGTTCCTATGTGAATTGCATCTGTGCAAAGTCAGGATCGAATCACGGAGTTTTCGATCGGATTTCTTTGATTTTTGGGTCACCCTTTTCTTCCTGTTCGTGCCTAGCAGAGGCACTGCTCGTCGTGTTCGTTCTTTGCATGTGTCGTGGGGTTTCTGCACTTGTGGCCAGCAGCAGTACTACCAGCATCAAGTGCTTAGGCGCCGTGCGTGCTCAATTCGAGCAGTCCTTGCTCCTGTGCCCAGTTGGTTGTTCGTTCGCTTCTTCGATCTCGCAGCGAGCCCAGCAGGTCGCCCCTCGCTCTTGGCTGAAAGCAGGTCGCCTAGGCATCGCTACCAGCGCCGAGCACTCGTGTGCCGTGCGTGCTGACCTGAGCAGCTTGCTCTAGCGCTTGCCTTCAATCGGCAGCAGCAGCACTGATCCTGTTCACAGACAAAGGCAGCAGGCGCCGTGCGTTCCCAGCGTCGACGCTCGCTCGCACCTCAGACAGTCCGGACTTGAGTCCCAGACAGTCCGCGACACTGGCTGCGAACAGAAGTTATTTATCTCGGTAGTTTTTGGAAATCTTGCCGGCAGACAGTCCGAGGCTCCCCAGACAGTCTGGGCTTGGTCCGCAGACAGTCTGCTACTGTGCTGTGTTTGCTGTTTTGGTTCGTTCTTCGCTCGGTTCGTGCTCCTATTTAGGTTCTATCTTTTGCGTTAGTTTCCTGCCTTTCTTTAGACCTTATCTAGGTACTCTTGTCAATAGTTAGCTAGGGTATTTTTGATTTGGGAATTTTGCTTCTTGGCGGTGAGTTTTTGGGACATCGACCAAATATTTTGAAAGAAATTTGAGGCTCCATTCACCATTTCTCTGGTCGTCGTTTCCGATCCTTCACCAATGTGCGGTGCAATTGTTGGCCATTTGTGCAAACTTCCCTATCTGACGAAATCAACGGCTACGACTAGCACCAAGGTCATTGCATCTACGTGCAGCGCGAGGGGGAAGTACAAGAGGTATATACTAGCTACCTTATATTATATCTACTATATGCTTTATGTCTTGTATAAATATTGTAATAAATTGAAACCCTCCACGTTCATGCTTGAGGTGCAGGAAGGAATGGTCGATTTGGTGCCCATTGGACCCCGTAGAATTCTCATGGCTTATGGTTACTTCAGCTTGCAAGTTTATGCTGACAAGTCTGGTCCTCCCATCATCGCAGAGGAGTGGGATGTTGGAGCCGACGATGAAATTGAGGAATACACAGAACCATCTGTGTAGGCCCTGGCCGCAAGTTGGAGATCACATACTTGGTGATTCCCAACGCCATTGAGGCCAATGTTGAGGTCAAGTTAAAGTTGAAAGACCTCGGTTCTAGAAGCCATGCCGTTTATGGTAAGATCAAGGCAAGCGCCACTGACTATAGGAACAAAAGTGTCCACCTCTTCAGTTGTGAACGAGGGACGAGCTTGTCCTTTCCCTCTGGCTCCACATCCATTCTTCCGTTGAGTCCGTCTATGGTTGCCGTGCCATGTCGTTGGCACCTCGAACTCCACATAGAAGTGGACCTGACAGTAATCGCAACATGTGATAGTCAAGAAGAGCAGGTCAAGAATTTAAAATTCAGTCTAGAATTCACCCGTGAAATTATGAGTCAAGAAAGAGAAGTGGATGATGATCAAGTTGAAGTGAACATCAAGTGGTACCCGACTTATTGATACTTGGTACCATGAACTGAGACGTGATGGGGTGTTTAGTAGCGTGATGGGGTGTTGTAGTAGTGGCAGCGCTAGATGACTATGAAATAAGTGAAGGGGTGTCATAGTAGTCGCAACACCAAATCTGGAACTTTGTGTATGTTTGACAGATGATCTTATCTATTTCCTTTTCTGTTTGATCAACTCATGTCGTTTTTATTTGAACTGAACTATTCGTGTCATTGGGTGAGTGGGTACCAAAAAGAAAGGCGCCCACGCTGAGGCACACGAAGTTTGCCAGGGAAGGGCAATGATGGACATTGACGTCTCAAAATTGTGAGTAATTAGATGCAAGCATGTTCGCATTACAATGCTTAACAATGGTCCAATATGTGAAACTAGCGCACATTTTGTGTGGCTAAGTATTTTATAACTTTGTTCATTGTGTGATTACTTTCGATTCAAGCTATAAGTCTTGAATTTTTGCTGAGAATAAAACTTGGTGATCAAGTTGATAACCATCGTTCGTTAGTGGTTTCTCGTTCCATTGAGTCCAATTGTTTCCCTACAATTGTACTCTTTACACGTTATCTCTCCGCCGAGTGCAAGGAGAGGAAAGGGAAAGAAGAATTTCAACGTTCTTGCCGCTCTTACTATATCGGCAAGACAACACGCTCTCAACCGACCGACCGCTGAGCACCGAACGCATGGAGAGAGGACTTGGTTTCCTCTCAGAGAGTACACTGAAGAACTCGTCGGTGTTTGTATCAACACGACAGAGAGGCCGGCATGGAGACGCAAAACAAGAGCGTCGTCACCTGTTCTTCATCGGAGAAAGACAAGCCATCGATCAAGAGAAGTGGCCTCCAAAAAATCCATCGGTGGACAGAGAGACTCGAACTCATTGAGGCTCTAAGCAACAAGAAGCGGACGTGGTCTTCATCTTTCGCTTCTACCCGGTGGCCGTCGTTCGTTGGCTTCCATCGTCATCAACAAGATGAACTCACCGATCGAGATGCCCAAGTCATAGAGACCGTACGTAGTACCCCCTGCACGGAAGACAAATCCAAGGACAAGAATAATCTCGATTTAGGCATCCAACGCAGCGCACGATGGTTGTGCGCCCAAGCGGACACGGCAGAATAAGCATGTCCTGACGAGCAACGCGCGTGTCTCCGACGAGCTCTACGAGGCGGGTGCGGCGGCGACTTCTACAGGAGGCCCGACCCGAGCAACGCGCGGTGGTCACGGCCATCAACCTCGTCACGTTCGCCGTCAACCCGGCCGGTGCACATCCTCGAGCCGTTCTGCGCGATCCCGGGTCAGCATCTTCCAGGGATACTCGATCAGGTGAGGGCGGAAGGAGGGTCAGCATCTTCCAGTTCCAGGGACCACCCGGACTTGTTCTCCACCACGATCGAGCGGGGGAAGGCTCGACCTCCCTGTGGAGTGCAGGGACAACGGGTACCGGCTGTCCTACATCTGGGCCGACGACCCTGAGGTGAGGGCGACGCTAGCTAGGCATCCATGAGGTTCATGGAGCCGCTGCACGATGCTGACACACTTCAGGCACGACCTCACTACCGTCATCCCGTTCCATGTCAACCTCACCAAGGCAGGGTACAGGGCCCTTGTCTACAAGTAAGGCGATTTGCCGTCGTTGCTATTTGATTATTATCTGCCACTCCATACATATTTTGAGACCAATGCAGTAAGCTGCTTTTTTTTTCTAGAAATAGGAATATATTGATATTCCAGCCTCGCATCGATAAAATGCATATATATAGCTATAATTATTACAAGTTGATCTATCCCTTATCGTACTTAGGCTAGGAATAACGGAGCAAAAAGCATAGAAAGAAAAGTAAAATTTTACGATGCTTAGAAAAAAACTAGAGCCATCTATTTGGATAGATCAGATGGACGTGCCAGGAAGGCAGGAACTCGAGCTGGATAACAGCTTGTGGTGGTTCTCGGAGAGAGAAGACTCAGGCATGATGCTGATGTGTTCTTGGCCAAATACATGTCTTCTCCACTTCTCCATGTCTCTGGATAGCAATGCGCCGTACTCTCTGAAATGCAATGTAATGGTAGTGCTGTCATAATATGTGCTCTCTGAAATTGTAGTGCTGCTCATTTCTGAATTAATGCATGTTCAGTTTTATTTTCGGCAATTCTATATGCATGGTCAATGTCTGAATATCACTCGTTCCATTCTACATTCAGCAGCCAAACATTTCTTGATAATTTGTAGGTCATTGTATTCCTGAAAAATAGATTCACCCAAGGAATGGCATGCTGTCCTAGTATTATTCAACTAATTTCACTCTAAGCTCACATCAATTACAGTCTCAATTTCACATCGATTCTTGCTAGACGTGCTGCTCTGCTTTCTGTAGAACTGAAATTGAGAACACCATTACAATCACAGAGCAGACCCGCGCAAGGCAATCAGCAGAGCACCGGGCGATCAGGCGGACAACGACAACTACCGGCTGGCCAGGCGGTCGGCGGGGCGGCAGGGGCGAGCCCGGGCGAGCGGCACGGCGACGACATTCCAGGAGTCAGCCGGCGGCGCGAGCTCCTGGCACACAGGCGTGCGGGCGGCGGTGAGCCAATCCCTCCATCTGCCGCGACAGAGCAAAACAGAACGGATAACCCTGAACATATTAAAATTACTAAACTATCCTTAATTATAATTAATTTTCTATTTTTACAATCAACGTCGGACAAAAATTCCAGTGGGAGGAACAGGTGGTTCCTCTGCATAGTAACAAAGCTCGAAAGAAAAACAACATCCCTACACTACACACCTTCCTCCGGTTACCACCGCAGCAGAATCATTTTCCTCAAAACGTTGCGGCCGATCAGTCCGCCACTGGATCAAGGCAAGGATAACCAATGGTGAACTTGACCCTTTTCGCAAGCGTGTCGTCATGACACGTGTTTCATTAAGCAGAAGTAGAATGTCAAAGGTTACAACACTCCTGAGTAATTCTAGGATTATTAGGAAAGGAGGAACCCTGACTAGGGCCTGCAAATGCGAGAAGGTTTAATTTACATGAAACATATTTTGCGACTGATTAGCTAGCGCCGAAGGCAAAAGGCTACGCAGATGCCTGAAACCTGCCATAACCCAGAGATTTGCTTCATCGGCGATTGCCCCAAGGACCTCACCCGTGCTGTAGCAGATGTCGTTGAAAGTCCTTGAGTTTCTTTCTTCCTAAAGGTGCCAGCTGACTAGAAAAACAAGGGAGTCGAAACCAATGGCGAACTTGACCCTCAACTGAACTGAGTACCAGCACGGCAGCACTAAGCCACTGTGACCTTCAATCACATCCAATCAGGTCATCCTGAGCTGCCACCATTGAGACTCAACCATGCATTCCCGCGCATATCCAGTCTGTCGGTATCGATTTCACCGCCACACCACATCAGCACCTAGAGTAGGGCCTCGCTGAAATGCAACAGCATTCACCGGCACATTGTTAGGAATCGGTAGATCCGAGGGCCTACTCGCTATTGGATGAAGTAAAACATAGGACATGTTTTAGACAGAGAGACATGGACACAGAGAGGATGGACAAGGGCTGTTGAACCTGATACCGCAGAGGGGGAGGGTTCAGAGGACGCCATCACGTTTGTCGGTGTAGTCTGTGCACGGGCAGCGATGGTTGGTGAAAAGGGCGATGAAGACGTCGATGTCGTTGGAGCGGGCGGCGCGGCTGGTGGCTTCCCGTCACTGGCTGCGCCCCTCTAGATCGGACTAGGGTTTAGGTGTCGGTAGGGAGCTCGGCTCAGGCGAACCTCGTAACTTGAGCCGTCGGTCCCCACCTCTATTTGCTGCGCAGTGTGATAGGGGTCCTCCAGCCATAGTAGGCTAGGCGTCCCCGATTAGGGCGCGGATCAAAGGCCTAACTGGGCCGTTGGGCCCAGTTTAGGATTAGAGATCAATCTAACAATCTCCCCCTTGATCTCCTACCATCTTTCAATTTCATATCATTTACTTTTGTTCATTCCATTACAGATTAGTGCATAGAGCATGTTTCATCGTCACGGTCAATTGCCGATAGATTTAACAGCTACAACACACCACTCTGTTCTGAAATAGATACTTAACTTTGGGCCTTCTTTTGTCCAGAAATTATAGGCTTTCCCTTAAACCCATGCCGGCTACATGTTCTCTGAACACGTTGGGTGGTAAGCCTTTTGTAAGCGGATCTGCGAGCATCTTTTCGGTACTTATATGCTCAAGACTTATGACATGATCCCAGACTTTATCTTTAACTATATAATACTTTATGTCAATGTGTTTGGCAGCACCACTTGACTTATTGTTGTAAGTATACTGTACTGCCGGATTATTATCGCAGTATAACTTAAGTGGTCTATAGATATCGTCAACCACCTTTAAACCGGGTTCCGGGTATGAACTTCTTTAGCCAGTTCACCTGCCCCATTGTCTCATAACACGCTACAAACTCAGCATACATTGTGGACGATGTAGTGATGGTTTGCTTTGAGCTTTTCCATGAAATAACTCCCCATGCGAGAGTGAATACATATCCAGACGTGGATTTTGTATCATCTCCCGCACAATCAGAATCTGAATATCCCACTATATGGAGTGAATCAGATCTTCTATACGTCATCATGAGGCTTTTCGTTCCTTACAAATAACGCAAGACTTTCTTTACTAATTTCCAGTGTTCTATTCTAGGATTGCTCTAGAATCTGCCAAGTAACCCGGTAACAAATGCCAAGTCAGGGCGCGTACATACTTGAGCATATTGCAAGCTTCCGACAGCTGAAGCATATGGAACCGCTTTCATTTGATCGATCTCATATTGGTTCCTGGGGCATTGAAAATCTCCATATCTGTCCTCCTTGACTATAGGAGCAGGTGAGGAACTATATTTGTGCATACTGAATTTCTTTAAGATCCTTTCTATGTATGCCTTTTGTGACAGTCTTAATACCTCTTTACTTCTATCTAGGTGAATCTCGATCCCTAAAACGAA